ACTAACTCTGCCAGTAACATTATGAATACCACTGATTATCTGGGTTATCATGGCTCCTGTTCAGTGGGGTGGGATATATCAGCAGCAAGTGAACATTTTTGTCCTCATAGTTGATGTGTTAGAAGCAGGAAAAATGGCAGCGTTGAGGATTTTGGAGCGACTTTGAAAGGGGCCCACGTTTGGTGGGATGCTAGATGAGCATCTCAAACCTGCAGCTTTGTGCGGTGTTCCCGCGTCCGCAAAGGTCAGCCTACCTATCAAAAGCGCAGTGAACTGGAGTTCCATGGCGGCCAAGGCTCACTAACGCACGTGGGGAGTGAAGGCTTGCCCGTGTGGTCAGAATGTTATAGCTGAACGGTGTGCTCAATCATAATCCTGATTCAGACATGATGATGATTAGAAAGTGTGGTGAGCTGCAGCGTCCTCCAGAAAACAGAAAGACACACCACTGATAGTGGATAGATTAAACCTCTCTCATTGATGCAGGACAACATCCTGCTGTAGTTGGACGGTCTGAATAGACACATACACACACATGTACAACATGTATAGGCTAATGGTTTGGTCTAAAGCAGCATCTGTCATTTGCAGCTTGTGTGTGCATGTTTTTCCATATGCGGGAGTATGTTCAAGGTAAACAGAGGCATGTCAAGCCAGGCTGTTCAACTTGAAAGGGCCAAATGCAACAAAGACAGAGGCTCTGTATGTGTGTGGCAGTCTAACATTAACCTGTGTCTCAGATCTGGACAGTGACATTTGTCTGTGTCCAAATATTTATCACATATTGCATAGCTTATATTGCTTTGAACTATCAAAAGGTCCTGAATATGTATTTTCCCAATCTTACTGTAAATGATGGGATCCTACATGAATACACAGTCTTCGACCAATTAGACAGTTAGTTCAGTTTTAGTCTTAATAAATAGAACCTACAGTACGTTTTTTTCTGAATTATTATTAATATTTTTGTGTGTTTATCTCAACATGTATTGTCCACTTCTATTTGACCGATCTAACACATTTCTCACAATTGCTTTTAACAACTACCATCAAGCTCACTCCCATTAACAACGCAAGAGAGCAGAATTTTCCAGTTGACACAGTTACGAACCCCCCCACTTAAAACATGGCCCACATTCAAAAACGCAGTAGTGTATCCATTACACCAGACAAAATGAGTTGCTAATTGTTACAGTGTTAGCTATTAGCACAATGGAATTACATTACGGTCGTGGTATTAGGAGCTGTGTCCTGGGTGAAAGACAAATAAAATCAGGATGTTAATGAGGTGTATTTCACACCCACTATAATCAGATAATCAGTCCTGTGTGGGGATCACCAAGCTGTCGGAAAGACAAACAACATCAGGTAAATGACGCTGAGATTGACCTAAATAGGTGTATAAATGAACCAGAACAGTAAACTGTAAATCCTCATACATTTTCATGACTACTAAAGCACTAGAAATATTAATAAAATCTTAGACCTTAGATTAAAACTTTTTAATGTACTAATTATTAGCTAGAGGAATATAAGATATGAAGTCTCTCTAATGCTGAAAGAGAACTGGAACGACTGGCTACGTGGAGCAGGTGGAATTTATGGGACATACAGTAAGATCAGAGTAAGATTTGGCACCACAAAAGTACAAGCAGTACAGCAGAGTAGGTAATATATGGTCATGAGTCTGAAAATACACTGCTGGCACAGGATTAGCCATTTGTGCTTGTTAATTTCATCCTTGTAAATCCAGGAAACATCACTTTTTTGGTGCAGTTAAAATACCAAATGATGAAAATCACACATTCATGGAAATTCACCCAACTCTGCAGCTCCATGCATCTCTACAGAGGGCTTTAGACTGCCAATTTCTGTACCTGCGAGAGGTGTAAATGTGCAACTGTTTGCTAACACATTTACCATAACAACTTTAGAAGGTGATAATATGCGGGGGGGGGGTTCTTGTGCCACTATCCTCGAGTGACCAAAAAAGTACTGATGCAGCTTTATGCCTTCCAATGAGAGCTTTGATTCTCTGCCCTAAAGGGCTAGGTTCGGGTCCAAAACTGCCGTTTACAAATTCGGGTTTGGGCGGGCTTGGTTATTTAATAGAAACTGTTTACTTTTGGTTTAACACGGGACACAAACAGTGGTCTCCTGGGTGAAAGTCCCCACTACCTTCATATGTGGACTTTCTCGCTCTTTAAACTACATCACCCGACTTTCTTTGTCATGCGCATCCAAAGGGCCACAGACAGAGCAGCAGGTTTGAGGGCTTGGGAGTGAGACTGGGTTGGTATCACCGGCATAAAACTGTCTGTATCAATTGTCCCAGGTTTCTTTTTCCATTCTTGTACATATTTAAAAAATATGTGGTGAAGCATTTTTGTCTATATTAATGAATGCATTTTTATGAACACTGTTCTGTATGCAATATAATAATGAACTATAATGAGTTAGGACAATACTTCTCACACAGTGAAACAGAAAAAAGCTTTCTTTACATATGTTATGTTTTGTTTAAGCATTGTCTTAGTACTAGATACTTTCCATTCTAATATTTTGCTTGTGTTACTCTTGTTTTAATGCTTTTGTTATCTTATATTTTGGATATTCATTCTTCCTCTATACTAGTACTTACTTGATTACTTTTACTTTTCCATCTTTATACATTAGTCAGCTTGGAAATGTGATATTAGATTTTCATTCACCCTGTGCAGGTATGGACTTTTCTACCTTTCAGTCCCTCACTCTACTCTCTGCAAATGGCGGTACAGTGAACAATATGATCCACCTAATTTAAATCCTCTCATTTTGAATTATTACCCACTTTAGAGCTTGATGCAGCACATAAACTAATTTAATCTTTCCCAACAGGGGCATGGACTCTGTTTTCCCTCAGCCTGAGAACCAGTCAAGACTGTGGCACAGGCAACATTTTGAGGACATGTTAATGACAATGTTGCCAGCAATTCCAGCCAACAATGTTTTGCCATTAAACTTGTGCTTTGTATTGCCGGCCATGATATCCGCATTGAATTTGTCCAATTTCCCCTCTCTGTTTCCCTGCTGATGGCAATATTGCCCATCTCCGTTGGCTGACAAAGTGACCCCGCGCATCATCGTTCTCAGAAGTGGGAAAGAGTGAAAAGGGAGCCAGGGAAGCCAGCAGACTGGCTGTCTCCTCAGCTGTGTGCATACCACTGTTTAGAGTAAGACTGTAATTGACTCTTTATCATCATTATGATCCCGCAGCGAAAGAGAGGGAGCCGTAATCCCCCCCCTGTTCCTCCTCACCGCTTGTTTTCAAAGCATAAATTCCAGCAGAGGATTTCCACATATTTGGGTAGAGTTTCCACGGAAGAGAGGGAAAGTGTTGTTGTTTTTGTAAGGTATTTTGATCTCTTATTTTTCCTTTCTTTCTTTCTCTTTGATTTCTTGTTTGCTTCCTTGTGTTCTATCTTTTATTTCCCCACACACTACATGTCATGTCAAAATAAAACCGGACTTCTCCACAAATTATGATTGGAATAACAAGGACCATGTGCTTACACGAAGCGTAATGTTTCAAAGTACAGTGCAACAAGATTCTTTTTTTTTTTCTTTTTCTGGCTTTTTTGTTTATGACGGAGGTTCAATGTTTGAACGGCACCCAAACATTACCCAGAGTAGACGCTTTGCCTAATAATCCTTGTTCTCGCTTTGGCTAGAACAAGACAGAGACAGAGAGAGGTCTGTAGCTGAGGGCAATTATCATTTAATGATTTTCTGCTTTTTCCTCTTCCAGGAGCCATTAGCCTTGCACGCACCTGAAATTTACAGGGAAGAGACGTGTGTATAAGTGTGTGTGTGTGTGCATGTGTGTGTGTGGGGAGGGGGTTGATGTGCTCTGTGGAAACAAGAGACAGAGGTAGAACTCAAGGACACAAACTCAAACCGCCACATTGCTCTCTGTCAATAATTATTGACAGAGAAGAACTGTAAAAACAATAATTTACCCTTAGCACTCCTTACCACTACCACTTTTCATTCCAACATGGCCATTATTTATTTGAATAAATTCCAATCGTAGAAAAATAACCTGTTTTGATCAAGTCATTTATCACTAAAAAACACCCTCTGTCATGGTGAAAATCTAACTCAAAATGTTGATAATTTAGTTGTGGCTTTACATACAGTTCCAACAACCTCTCATGTTCAGTTCTGTTTATACTCACACTGATGTGCAGAAGGGGTGTTTATGTTGCAACAAGTAAAAGGCTGGCACTATTTGGTAAAACATATATATATATATATTCCTTCTTCTTTTAGACACACACATAACTGTAAAAACTAGGTGATTTTTGACTGACCAACTGCCTCCTCAGGTGTCCAGTAGCCTGACGTGTCACAGATGCGAGGTGAGGAAGCCTCGTAGGCATACTGGTGGAACACTCCGTCTTTCTCGCAGTCTCCACAGTTGATTGTAGACACATGAGAGGAGGAGCTGAGACGAAGGGAAACAGAGTGATTGATTATGAAATATCACAGTTTGTCTTTCGATTGTCATGACAAGGTAAATATGTCTCTTTTAAGAACAAATCTACAGTAATGTTGAACCAACTTTAGTTTGTTTTTACTCTAGATGGACAATGCAAGAAAATGCAAAACGGAGTGGGTTGCAGTTTCCAGTCAAAAGATGGCCCTCAATTTGTTGACTTGTGGAGGAGTTTTTTGAGGCTATAATCACAACAGTAGCTGGATGTGTTGCCTGTGGGCCAGCAAGGCATGTACATTTAAAAGGCTCCAAATCAAGATAAAAAATGCAGCCTTCTTTTCACAAACTGTTGAACAAACTGTTGTTGAGATTCCCATAATCCGTTGCAGAACATTTTTACATTAATAAGAGTAAGTGTCCAGGTCGTCATCACTGGTTAATACAAAACATGAACAGAACCGATTAAAAAGATACTGGAAGGTATAACCTGGCACTGATTGCTCTTGTTAGCAGCCTGAATATGGTTTTTATCACCAGGCATTACATAGAAATTGGCCATTACACAACTTGCCAGTTGTCCATCATGTGTTTAAATAAGTCACAATTTATACGGTAAACTTGGTTATCTTCCCTAAGTTTATGGCAGGTGTACCACCTTGTATGGGGGCAACTTTCTGTTGGCAAAGGCCTCATGTAGTTAAAAATCTTTTTCTCTTGTTCTTATGTAAATGCATATGTCTTTATCTACATGTTGATGAGGAGCCACTGAATGCACCACTGTCTCAGCAGCCTATTCTGGCTTGTGTTGTTTGGAAAGCAGTGTATGTTTTGGGACTTAGCCCTCATGTGCGTTGTCATTCACTTGCATGTGGGTAAAGAGATGACACATTGCTGCCAGTGTTGTCACTCACAGCAAGTGCAATCAGTTGTTAAATATGCACTGTACGAGTCTAATAGTTGCTAAAAGTGCATTCGTCATAGGACCAGGTGAACATATTCATATATAGATCTTTTGTGCTCAAATGGGTATAAACAATTTGAAATGTATTTGAATGCAATAATCATTAACTCTTTGTCCATAACTAAGGTAAAGATTTGAGAACTACTTTTCAAATGAGGAAACAAGTGCAGTCAACTCTCCTTTGAGACATAAATAATTAAGAACCAATGCAATCGTACCTCTGATATAGTGGTCCCCTCATAGGTGGCAGCCAATAGATAGACACAGAATCCTGACTCTGGTCTGTCACTATGGGGGCCAGAGGGATGGGGGCAGGTTGCCGGTCCGTCAGCCACTTCTGGTAGACCAAGTCAAGATAACAGTGCATCCGGGCCACTTGGTTGGGAGTGAAATGGTTGGTGCAGTTGTCATCTGATGTGGTGCAAAGAAAAAGGAAAAAGCCCAGGTAACCATCATGGATCAGGTCCAAACACTAGCCTCCATTCAACTTCAGTGCTAACCACGTGGTTGGGAGTTATTAGCTTTAATGCAGACAGCAGTGTCCTTAAGGAACCTTTCAGGATGTGTGGAGCTAAATCAGAGTATATCAGGTAACATTTAGGTCTAATGGTCTAAAGAGTTTAAATAAAAATGAAAAATAACCACATCATTCTGCAGTAAAGATGCAATGACACATGGGTGATGTAGGTGACGGTTGTCATTCAGATGTGAAAATAATCTATTCCTAGCAACTCCTATATAATAATTTTAACACTGTTGAGAGAAAATATCACCATTATTATTGTTATTGTTATTATATTTCATTATTATTATTCATAGCAAGCACATCATAATGCTGAAATGAGCTAACATTTTCCGACTGAGTCTTCACAAAACAAATTAAAACAAAAAGAAAAAGTTATTTGTATGACGTTTATGTAGGATATGTGGTGTCCTTGCTTGTATGGCTGTGTGTTGTCTAACAATGTACAGTATACATTCTACAATTGACTTGTTCTGTTGGTCCTTAATTGTTTTCAGTGTGTCTGACAGTACGCCTGTTGTTAATTACAGGAAAGGAATGTAAAGAATGTTTATCAGTGTACCTGTATAGCTCATGTAATTGCTATAAGGTGTGTCCTGGTACGTGGTGACTCCACAGGTATCGTTGACGGCGCCGGGATCGTGGCAGGCTTTGGATTTGGGTGTTGGTGCGGTGTCGGCACACAGATCTCCTGTCTCCATAGATGGCGTGGTCTCCTGCGAGTGCACATTGACAGAGCTTCTAGCAAATGATCGCACAAGAGTGAAAATCTTTATCCAGGTAGGTAGGCATGCACAGTGCACTCTACAGACAGCAGATGAAGAAGTACACAGACAACCAACAACTTATATCATTCAAATTGAAAATATCAACAGGTTCATGTAAAGCATGTTGCAAGCGTAGACATAATGACTGAAGAAAGACACTTTACTAGATGATGTAACTTTTTGGATAAGGCAATAATATATTGTATGATAGAACAATAAACATGTGATAAAAAATTCTTTGTGTAAGTACACAAAAAGTCACATTAAGTAATCAAAAAGAGATGTACTGTCTTACCTGACATGGGTCATCACAGGAGTCCCGCTCACTCACACCCTTGAAGACATGGTACAGTCCCAATATGTGGCCCATCTCATGGATCATGGTGTTGTGGTGGCCCATGGTACCAAAGTAAGACGGGTTCAGCACCATCCCACCTGAGGACATACAGTAACATTCACAGTATGGATCATAATATTATTAGATACTGAAAAGCGAGAGAAGGTTTGTGAGTCATTCCACCCTTTTGACAGGATGTAATGGTTTACTTCAACAAGTAAACTGGTTTAGTGCCTTTTGGCAAGACAATAAATAACAGGAAATCCCTAGACTAAGCTTCTGTACCTAAAAACACAATACCATATCCAAATCTACTGGATTACCCATGTAGAATTGTTTTAACACCAGCACTCAACAAAACAAGTGATCACAAAAACTGTAACTACCGGCTTTGTGTACTTACCGCCACCACAGTGAGCCCGCATTTCCAAAAGAGAAACAGACCACCATAGTAAAAAGACTAAGAACTGTGACATTTAAAACCAATTAGGAATGAAGTAAAACTTTAGTACTTTAAACCAAAAACAGGAAGCAATATACGGTGAGGCTGCTGGGGCCATTTTTGCCTGCTTTGAATATAGAGTAATGCTGGGCAGGAATCTTGTATTTACTATTTTGTATCATTTTCCTAATGATTGACACCTACCACAACTGTCTCACGTGTACAGAAACAGTTTCATGGCTTTGGTACTTTGGAGGTGCATCAACATTGTAAACACTAAACACTAAATGTAAAAATGTTGTCTCATTCAGTTAACAGTAAAGGATATTACTAGATTTCTAGTTCTATCAGTAGGTATCTAGTGCTTGAAGAGTATTATATAATAAGTATTACAGTAAGTAAGTCCATTAACATATAAAGAGCTAAGTTATGAATTCTGGGTGACTTGGGGATTTGTTTTTAATGGCTTCTTAACAAGGCCAAATAATGCCTTTTTGGACATTTTTGCTAATTCTGTTAGTACTTTAATTCAATATTGTATTCTAATTGTGGATACAAAAAATGTTGACTTTTTGTACCATAAAATGACAAATAAAAATACAAATTTTATTCAAAAATGAAAGGCAAATCGTTAACAAAGTATTCCAAGGATAGCTATTTTAAAATCAGCCATGGGTTTGGGGCTATGGTGAATTCTTCAAAAATGGCCTTAAGTGGAGATACAGGGTTTTTTGCAGCATGCTGATAATCGCAGAATCGAGAACAGACATGACAGTTATTGGTTTTCTAATTAGAAACAGTGTGTTCAGTGGTGAAGACATTGAACAATGAAGACATTAAATACGAAGACACTAAACAACAGGGCCTCCGGAGACGACTTGTCATCCACTAACTTGTTTTTAAACAGGGACAGATGCTGAGCAACTGAAACAAATGTCATGAGGGAGACATTCAGTAGAGAACTAAACTAAATTGTCTTATTTGAAAATATAACATCTACTCTGACAATATGACTATACTGGTCACATTAAAGTAGAGTACCTTATTTGAATCAATGAATAGTTACCTCCAGTCCACATATCTCACATAGTACCCCAAAATGGATCTATAGCTTTTAAGAACAAAGGCTATGGCAGCCTCGTCACTTATTCGTATTCATTTGATAAAAGCTGCTGCAAATACAAGCTTTTAACAGTGCAGTTGCTTTCTTTGATTATGCTGAGTGAGCATTATGGCATCATTTCATACTCATTTATTCACATAAATGTCTTTGGAAGACAGCTGAGATAAATTTGTGCCAGGTAATTTCATGGGTTGTGGGCATAAAACTTCACCAGTGTTTTGCCTCTAAGGCCACAGCTAACAATTACTTTCATTGAATCAACCAGTTCGTTAATTATTTATTTTCAATTTTGTCTAATTACATTTCTAAATAGCAAATGCCCAGCAGAAGTTACCAGAGCTCAAAGTGACATTAACATTCACATAAAACTGCTTATTCCTTCTGTCGAAAATGAGAAGTAAGTATTAAATTAATAATTATATGATCTAAAGAGAAGCGTAAAATCCACTAGATTATTAGTACAAATCAATTAATTGTCAATCATAAAATCCTTTCATCACTAGTTTGTGAAAATAAAGCAATGTTGAATGTGCTATTTCTGTAACTTAAACATACTCAGTATCTACTTTACTGTGTATACTTTTAGTGAATAAGAACCACATTTTCCCATCTAAAAAGCCTGACTTTTTGATGTACGGATTAACCAAGATGCTGGGGATGTTATTTGTGTATGGCGATGTGATACAATCAAGTTTCTGCTGATGATCGCAGGATCAAGATCTCACACCGACAGTATGGACATTCTGTCCAACCACATCTTAAAAGGTCTTAAATGGTAAATGGACTGTACTTATATAGTGCCTTTCTAGTCTTTCGACCACTCAATGCGCTGTACACTACATACCACACTCACCCCATTCACACAC